CCCTAAAACATAGACTTTCTCAGAGTGTCATGAATGGATTCTATACACACATTTCTAAAAGCCTTAGCCTTATAGGTAGCAGACGTAAGGGGCCTGAAATCGAGATTTCCTGGCTTGGCCATTAAACTGCTCTCTGGTCATGCACATGCGCTCTCTGGGCCTCAGTTACTGTAAAAGCAGAGGGACTTGACTATATTATGGCAGTGTATGCTTGAGGAAGAGCTGTTACTGTGAAAATATCCACTTGCTGCCCCTTGGTAGCAGGCCTGAGCTTGCAGCCAAAGAGATTGCCCTGGTGAAAGTGGAAAGTCAACAAGATGAGTTAACCAGGCAAGAGCTATAACAAAGGGCATGGCTGAGGTTGAAGAGCTCAGGAGACAGACTGTTCCCTGCAAAAGAAAGCATCTGAGCTGGAGCTGAAAGGCAGCGAGTGCTTCTGTATAGCATGGCTCTTAGTTCCCAACACAGAAGAGCAGGAGGGAGAAAGAGAGAGGAGGAAGGGGAGTGGGAGGAGGGTCGTCGTGGTGGAGGAGGACAAATTAGGGACCAGCCAGGGAAATCCACAAGAGCCATTTCATTAGATGGAAGGAACAGAAGCAGCAGCCATAGGAGCCTGAGGGGAAAGGCAAGCCACCCTTCATCCTTAGCATAGATTGTGATGCTAGGAAAGGTGAAGGAGGCTAGGCAGCTAGGTAGGGGCCTGACATCAGAAGGTTAGTTGTGTCGTACTGTAGAGCTGCATCTAGAGTTTGTGGAAAGCCACTTCAGGGTTAAAACTAGGAAGAGGCACAAGGCCAGAGCTGTGGTGTGGTAACTATACAGATAGCTCCGAGGGAGACGGGTCAAAAGAGAGACTGCTGAGCTGTGAGGAAAGAGAGGGCATTGCATGGATGTACAGGAAAGAAGGGGCATGTGCATGAATCTACAAGAAAGAGGGGGCATTGCATGGATGTACAGAAAAGAGAGGATATATGCATGGATGTACAGGAAAGAGGGAGCATTGCATGGATACGCTGTTTGTAGTTAGCTGGGTTGGGACATGAGTCAAGGTCTCTCTAACTGCCTCCTATTGTTGGGGAAGCATCAGATCAGCTCTGGTTGGCTACACTAGAGAGACAATTATATGTGGTTTCCCGTTGCTAAAACAAAACACATAAAGCTAGCTACTTAGAAAGAAAATGGTTTATTGAGCTCACAGTTTAGGAAACCTAAAATCTAAACAACATGGCACTAGCTCTGCCAAGAAGTCCTTTGGCTGCATCATGTCATGGCAGATGGCATATGTGAGAGCCTACACATGACAGAGAAATCTTGTGGTGAGACATGAAGCTGGAAAAAGATCCGAGGGCCATGTCTCTTTCATAGTAATATTATACGGTGGAAAGTAACTGGTGTCCCACACAAACTAGCCTCCTCCGAGGGCAGCAGTGGCCTCTCATTAATGCTAGTGAAGGTGGCAGGGACCATGGGAAGGTTGAAACTGACGTGACAGAAGTCAAGGACAAAGGGCTGGAAGAGTAAGAGGTTAGAATTATGGAATGGAACAAAAAAGCTTGGAAGTCCTTGAACCAGTTTAGCTTATTACAAAACCTAAAGGCCCTCATGTGAGTGATGCCTTTTGCTTAGGACAACACTGCCCTGGGTAATCCTTTAGCCACAGTAAGGAAGGAAGGGGAAACAGGGAAAGCTCATTTTAATGCAATGTATTCTATTTAACTCATTGTGTCCTAAATATTGTTATTCAGCATAAAATTTACATAAAATTATTTCAACTTTTTGTCTTACTAAGTCATCAAAAGCATGCTTGTGGCTTACTTCAACTTGAGCCAATGGCCTCTGGGTGCTCAACAGCCACACAGGTCAACTTTACTGGCGGGTGCAGGCCAGTGTTCATCTCATCTCTCTGAGTGCCTGGATCCCTCAGGTTTTCAATGTTCTTGCTTTAAAAACAGCTACTTTCACTCCTAGTCCTGCTACCTGTTCTCCAGTGACTTATCACTAGCTGGTTATCTGCCTCTCCAAGGGCTATGACTCCCAGGAAAGGAAACACTCCAGACTGCTTTGTTCCCAGAAACATCATCACCACAGCAGACTCTCAACAAATATTTTTCGAAGGACTTGAAGATTCTAGATTCAGCATTGTCTCCCTTGAAGTCAATATCCATTTAGTGGGTCATCCATCAGGGGAGAAGGATATTGATGGAGGAACATTATACAAAACACAAAGTGACTGAAAGCCCATCCAGAGTCCTCCAGGGGATAAAAGGCTGGTTCTCAGATGCCAAACTGGAGCCTGGCACTCCTGGGGGCAGTGTTACCTTCCTCCACCTGTGCCTTGGCTCAATTGATTCAACCACTGGCTCGGCCAACTTTAGGAGAAAATGGCACTTTGGTCTACCACCAGTAGATGGAGCAATGTCATTAAAAGTGTAGCAGTAGTGTCTAACCGGTTTCTCAATGGCTTCTCAGAGGTACTTACTCTCTTTCCTACAGCTGACCTGGATCTCAGATGTTACAATGTATCCCAAGCTAGCCAGTCTCCTATTCCTCTCTCCCACCGAGGAGGTGTAGCTTGGTTGTGATGGGTGCTTTCAGCAAGAGCGGCCAGGTTCTCCAGAAGGCAAGGTAGGCAGACCCCAGAAGCGGGCCCAGGTCCAAGCCCGGAGGAGCTAGATAGCCAGGGTTCTCTCCTGGGTCTTAGAGCACAAGCCCAGGACATGACTCACACACACATGGGATGCTCTCATTAGCCTAGAACCTTTCTGCCCTCCCAAGATCGAAAGAAGCTTATTAAATAGGTAGGTAGGCATGGCACAGCCTGTACATCTGACACTGACACTCTGGCTGCTACCAAGACCTGTGGTGGCCAGTGGATGCTTCCCTGTTACCATCTCTGTGGTTTCTCGGCTCATGGCTGTGCCTCCAGGGCTGTGAGACTAGTCTTGGTCCTCTTCTTCCATCCCCAAGCCCTTCTGGCCCCTAGATGTCCCAGCCATGTGGAAATGCTTACGTGTGTGTGTGTGTGTGTGTGTGTGTGTGTGTGTGTGTGTGTCTACTTTAGAATTCAGACTTTGGGATTATAGGTCAGTCAGGAAAAGGTCACTCAGCTGAGTCTATGTCAGTAGGCTTCCTCTAGAATTATTTTGTCCTTTGGATTGTAAATTAGCATGATTGTCACTGCATGGTATTCCAGCCATTTCAGCAGAAAAGAAAAATTGTGATGGCTTGATGCTTTATTATAGTTGTAGTCCATTCCATAGAGGTGTCTGGAATCTCCCCCCCACCAATAACCCATCCACATGCCAGGAAGTAAGGCAGTAGGAACCTAGTTAAGAGGTTTCACAGGCCCAGTCATCCATGCAAGGGCCATTCCTTTCTCCAGAGCTGCAGTTTTCAACCTGTGGGGCATGACCCCTTTCGAGGGGTGTTGGAGGAGGGTGTGAAATAACCCTTTCACAGGGGTCACCTAAGACCATTCTACATATCAGATATTTATATCACAATTCATAAACTACCAAAATTAGTTATGAAGTAGCAACAGAAATAATTTTATTGTTGGGGTCAATCACAACATGTGGAACTGTATCAAATGGCGGCAGCATTAGGAAGGTTGAGGACCGCTGTTCCACTGGAGTAGAAGGGTTTTTAATCCATTGTCAGGAAAATTCTTTGATAAGGAAACATTCTTTTATTGTTATCATCATTGACTCTTCTTATCTTATACAAGTGCTTGCATCTTCATTCTGTAATTTTGTCATCCTCTACTCTCAGGAAGCCCTCCAGTTCTCCTCCTGTTTGGTGAAATCGTCTTTCAAACATCACCCCTCCGTGAGTCTTTTTGATTTTCTTAGTCACAGTGAACTCTGTCTTCTCCTGGATTCTCAGAGGACTTTGGGTTCACTCACATGTCTCATCCATTGAATAGAAGGCATTTTGCTTGGGCTGAATGGCCCTTAGTGCTACACAGGTTGTTTCAAGGGTTCACAAATAACTTACTGGCAGAGGGGCAAGCTGGTGAGCTACTAAAAGTATCTTGTCCAGAGCCAGGCATGGTTATGCATGCCTGTGATTCCAGACTTGAAGGCAAGAGGGTCCAAGTTTGAGGCGAGCCTGATCTAGAAGGCAAGATCCTGTCACAAAGGACCAAAAAAAAAAAAAAAAAAAAAAAAAAAAAAAAGGAAAACAAAACAAATCCCATACTGTTCAGTTAGCACATTTGAATTTTCCCTAAAAATTCTCATCCAAAGTGTATGAGTGATTTAATAAAACCGATGGGTCTACAAACAGCAACACAGCCTTATCTAGAAATGTCATATATCTCAAAAAAGTGGTGCCCCACACTCTGAAGGTCTCTGGCAAGCGAGGGTATTATTGGGTCGGGGGTAGGAATTGAAAGCCCATACCTTATCGCCCACTCACTATTGTGTTCAATATTGTTCACTCCAGTCATCTTTCTACCTGTAGTCCACCTGAAGATAGATGCACCAAGACAACTAAGTCCTTGACTCTTGTGTTTTCTTTAATAGACGATTATTAAAGAATAATCGAGAACAGAGCCTGCAAATTCTCTTGAAGTTGTCACCCAAGGATAAAACCTCAACTTTTTTTGTTCAGGAAATTAGAGTCTATAATCTCATCTTCCACCACCTCCTCCAGAAGTTTCGATCTAGACATACATTTATTCAGTGAGTTGCAATTTACCCTAGGGTGGAGTGTCAAAGTTTAAGTTCCTTTTGCTGCCGGGTAACTCCAGGTCTTTGTGGTTTCTAAACATAAAAGAGATGCCGGTAAATTTGGGACATGATTGCCTAATTGGACTAGTCTTCCCTTTCTTTGGACTAGTGCTTGTAACCGGGCCCCTTTAAGAGGCCAGAAATGCGTCCGGCGTCGCAGCCCTGTGGATCCTCTTGGTGCTCCTCCCCTGTCCGCGCGGCGAATGGTTCGCGCCAGCCTATATTAACCCGAGATCTTCCTCCCGGACGGCAATGATGTGAGTGAGGCGGGCAAGCTGGCCACCGCGCGCACGACCACAGAGGGCGCGCTGCAGACCGCCGAGAACCCCGAAGCGGAGTCGGACGCCCCCGGAGGGAAGCAATGAGGTAGCGGCAGTCCCCGGAGCTGACGATGCGCGCGTACTGCCCTCGGAGCCCCGCGCTACCCTGGCCAAGCCGGCCGAGCGCGAGTCCCCGGTGTCCCCTCGGAGCGAGGATGCAGTGAGCCGCGGGACTCCTGTGCCTGGCCCGCCGCGGCCAGCCGGACCATTCGGAACGCACTTAGGGCAAGCTGCTTGCTTATTCCAGGACCAGCCCAGTCGAGGGGCTCGCCCTCTCCCGCACCCACTGAGGGTGGGGAACACCGGCTCCTGAGCGCACTGCTGTAGTTTCCGCGGCTCCTGGCCCTGGTCCAGGACTTGTGTGTGTGTCACGTTCGCTGAAGAAGAGTTCCTGCTTATTCTCTCACCACCCCGGGTGCTTTGGCCGAGCCCCCCGCCCCCGCTTCTATTTATTTGCACGTACTCATACGTTTTTTTTCTAAAATATTTTCCACACCTCTCTCTTTTATTTTGTTGCTTGTCTGAGACTTTTGTACTGGTCCTCCTCATCTAGGCTTCTGTTAAAAAAAATCTCTCTGTCTCTTCCTATCCCCCATCCCCGCACACTCAAAGCTGAATATATTTTTCTTTTTCTAATATTCTATACCCCTCTCCCCGACTCGCTGCGGGGTTCTCAAGCACTATCTGGCCCCTGCTGCCTCCATCTCTCCCTGTCCCCGCTGTGCTCCCAGCTAGAGTTTTATTTTCCGGGCTTGCCCGGGCCAAGCGCAGCCGGGGCTGGTGGCCCTGCGGGGTTCGCACCCCGCGCTCGGCCGCCGCCGCCCAGCCTCTCCCGGGCGTCCTCCGGAGATGCTGCCTTGGAAGAAGCACAAGTTCGAGCTGCTGGCCGAGGCGCCACCGCGGCAGGCGTCCAAGCCGAAGGGCTACGCTGTGAGCCTGCACTACTCTGCACTTAGCTCCTTGGCTAGGGCCTGCCCGGAAGGCGCGCTCAGCCGGGTGGGCAGCATGTTCCGTTCCAAGCGCAAGAAGCTGCACATCACCAGTGAGGACCCCACTTACACCGTGCTCTACCTGGGTAATGCTACCACCATCCAGGCTCGCGGCGACGGTTGCACGGACCTAGCGGTGGGCAAGATCTGGAGCAAGAGCGAGGCAGGCCGTCAAGGCACGAAGATGAAGCTGACGGTGAGCGCTCAAGGCATCCGCATGGTGCACGCCGAGGAGCGAGCGCTGCGGCGCCCGGGCCACCTATATCTGCTGCACCGCGTCACCTACTGTGTGGCAGACGCGCGGCTGCCCAAAGTCTTCGCCTGGGTGTACCGGCATGAGCTGAAGCACAAGGCGGTTATGCTACGCTGCCACGCAGTGCTGGTGTCCAAGCCAGAGAAGGCTCAGGCCATGGCCCTACTGCTCTACCAGACGTCTGCTAACGCTCTGGCAGAGTTTAAACGTCTAAAGCGGCGGGACGATGCGCGTCACCAGCAGCAGGAGCTGGTGGGTGCACACACCATCCCGCTAGTGCCGCTGCGTAAGCTGCTCTTGCACGGACCTTGCTGTTACAAGCCGCCAGTGGAGCGCAGTCGGAGCGCTCCCAAGCTAGGCTCTATCACCGAGGACTTGCTCGGGGAACAGCAGGAGGAGGAGCTGCAGGAGGAAGAAGAGGAGCACCTCGAGGGCTGCCTGGAGGAGGAGGAAGAAGAGGACCGTGTGGGGGATGGGGACCCCGCAGAGGAAGAAGCTGAGGCGCAGAGGGCGCTGGTTGTGGCTATGCACTTGGAATGTGGGGACTTGCTGGACCCGCTGGAGAATGGCCACGAGGAGGCGTTGGGGGGCAGCGAAGTCTCGCTGGGTCCCAGCTCTGGAACATCACCGCCTTTGCCCGGCTGTGCCTCCGACATGAAGGCCCAGCTGTCGCAGCTTATTAGTGATCTGGGCGACCTTAGTTTTGGCAATGATGTGCGCACCCTGGAGTCCGATTTAAGGGTGACACGCCTGCTGTCGGGCGAGAGCACGGGCAGTGAGAGCTCCATCGAGGGCGGAGGCCTGGATGCCGCCTCCGCCACCTCTAGCAACCCGTCAGGAGAGAGCACCAGCCCAGATGAGCCCTACTCCGGCTAAGCTCCCAGAAAACTCCGTGCGCCTGGCACCCCACAGTGGCTCCCCAGCCGTAGTACTACTCCCCCTAACCTCCAGGAAAGGGAAATTTATGCACCTGAGGTCCAGACCTGAGTCTGGAGTTCCCGGGGGCTGTGTCTCTCCCAATTTGCTCCAGCACTTTTGGCTTTGAGATGGTTCAGGAGAGCGAGGCGCTACAATCGAAAGATAGACAGGCCCTCCGAGGTGGGTGAGGATTCGGAAGAGGGAAAGGGAAAGGGGGCTGAAGTTGGAAAAGGCCAAGGGCAGGCTAGAGGTGCTCAGCAGCCAGTTTCCTGTTTGTGAGGCAGCTGGGGCTTGGGAAGGAGGGGTAACTTCCTCTCCAGACCCCTTGTCTGGGAGGCCTCTTTCTGTCATCAATATCTCATTAACAAAGTCATATTGGAGGCTTTGCTGGCACTAGCTTACCTGCCCCCAGTTCTTTTGGATTTGAGAGCTTGGGCTGTTTACCTCAGACTCAAAACTCTTGAAAGTATGCCAAATTTCTCAAATAATTGTACTGGGGAGGGCAAGGTATGGAAGTTGTGTTTTGTTTACAGTTAAAGACATCTAATATCTTAAAAAAAGGAATTTTCTTTTAGAAATACACGCCTTCCTCCTGTCCCAAAGAGCATACATACTCCATGATGCTGTGTAAAATATTTTTGCACCTTTGTGAAGTACTTTTGACTTTTTTTTTTTTGTACATAACTGTTGTTCTTGGAGCTGAATGTTTATATATCTTTTGCTGTGCAAAAGACAGCTGTAAAATGTTGTTCAGTTGTATATACAGAAATGTGTATAAAACATTTTGTTATTTTTTGAGCAGCATTGTTTTGGTTCTGTTTGCATGTCAGTGGGGTGAGAATAAAGAGGAAAAGCTGCCAGAACAGCCTCTGAAAATGTGCTGAAGGTGACTGGTGGAGAGGTGGCAGGGGGTTGTGCCTCCTCCCATAGTGTGGTCCTGATGGAGCTTGGAAAGAAGGTGAACCGGCATTACCCATCTTCTAGAGTGCTTTGGATCAGGGTGTTATGTCTGCATATTTCATATTCTCATTGTATGTGTGGGGTTTTGCTGCTTTGTTGCTGTTGAGACAGGGACTCTATCTGTAACCCCACCTGGCCTGGAACTCCATAATATAGACCAGGCTGCCTTTGAACTCAGAGATCTACTTGCTTCTGCTTCCCAAGTGTTGGGATCAAAGATGTGAGCCACTATGCTGGCATAAGGATTTTTTTTTTCTTTAAGTTAATTTTTGGAGAGATCAGAGTAAACTCAATTGCCCACGCTCTTTAGATGGGAATGACTGTTTACTGAATGACTCAATATATGCTGTTTTTTTTTTTTCCCTTACCTTTCGGGGGGTCAGCCTAATGATCAAGTATAACCATAATATATACTTTTTCCTCTGCAGCTTGGAGACCAACTAGCATTGTAAAAGGGACACTGTGGAGTGGTGTCTGCTTTGTTTTTCTCTTGTGGGGAAAAAAAAAAAAAAAAGCAAATAGAAAAGTTGTAGGTTCCAGATAGCCAGGAGTGAGTCATGGTGCAGGTGGGATTGGGGGAGATAGCATGAACAGCCTGTTTCCTTCCCTTACAGCCCAGCCTGGCCCAGTGGGAACCTATCAGGGAACAAGGCAGAGGAGCTGTTGGCATGGTGTGGGGGTGTGTGCTGCAGGGTGTTCATGCTTTCTGTGTTTGTTTCTGTTGTGAACTCCAACCAGATGTCTCAGGTTGGGCTACACCCAATCAGCTGCGAGTGGTAATACAATGCTGCCAAAACTGCCTTCTGCCAATCATTCTTCCCTTTGCCCCTTTGGGCCTCTTTTCCTGGGTTGCAGAAATGGATCTCACTCCCAGCCTTCCCTGGTGTCCTGAGGCCGCTTTGCTTTGTTTTCTTCATAAATATGTTCTGAACAGCCAGGCCTAAGGAGCCCAAGGAGACTGGAATGCACTGGAATCAGAGAGGAAGGGAGGGTGAAAATTTCTTCCTAATTAATGGGAGTGGTTCAGCAATAAGTCTAACTTTTACAAAGAAAAGCAAAGAGCTGGGGGCGGGAAGTAGTTTTTAAAATACTCAATGTCTTCTTAAGGCCACCGGCCACACCTTTTAATCTTCTATTCTGACTTGGTAGAGTTCTTGTCCCTTTCACAGATATCATTGAATGACGTTTTTTTTTAATGTCTAAGTAGAGGTCACGAAAGACACATCCCACCCGACTGGCTACTGCTTGGTAGTGGGGGGCCTTCACTGTTAGCCAGACAATGTGCCAAGTTTGGCTCTGACCAGTGATGCATGTAGACATGACAAAGACATTTAACGCAATGCTAGCAATAAGTATAGGGTAATTACCTCTTTAAAGTTTTTGTTTTTCCCCTTCGTATTTGATTTGTGAGTAGCAGGAAGGGGGAGGTCTGAAGAGTATGAAATAAAAATGCAGGCAGAAAAAGAACCAGCTCTCTTCCTCGGCGGCCTTGCCCTTGTCTTACTCTTTCTCTTCTTGGCGTTTTGGCTGTTGTCACTGCTCCTCAGGGCGCTTGGCTGATGTAATTCTAGAAGAGATGTGAAGTGATACATGATTCACCTCCTGTTGCATCTCTGTCTTCCAGGGATGATATCATTAGAGAAAGGAGAAATGTCTCTAACGCAAACAAAACTAAACTTCGTTTGTTTCTGGTACCTGCAGGTGTTGGAATGGTGTGATAAAAGCCAATTCAGACCATGTTAAAAAAAAAAAAAACACTCCAGAAAGCTCTAAAGTCTGGTTTTAGTCATCAAATTGACCTTTTCCTTCTTACAAGGTGAGGTGTCTATGTCTCCTTCATGTATGAAACTGAGTGGTGTTTTAAATGCAGCAAGACATAGCACATTCTTTTGCAGTCCATCCATGCAGCAATGACTACATGGAACTCAAGTGACTTCTGGAGGCAGGAGAGCTTGGAGTCCCTGGAGCAGGCATTTGTCAACTTCTTTCAGTGCAAACATCCCATGTTGGCATCTGTAATGTGTTGTATATGTTGAGGGAGAAGGAGGGAGGTGTATAAAATAAACGATAGCATGATAGGCACTCTCAACTGTAATAGTTTCAGAGAACACCCACCCCACCCCCACCTATCCATCTCAGCACATATGCCTCAGTCAGGAAAGCCCTCTCCCTGCACTCTGCACTCCCACGCCAGGAGCACAGTGGCTCTCAAACAAATTAGGAAGGCTCTGGTATACTGAGAGGGCACACCCCCTTCCCAGGGGACACGGCTGTGTCTGAGGGTTCTGCCCCTGAAAGAGAATGAACTGTTAGGAAGAATCTAACCTTGGCACCACACTGGAGGTTTCAGAATCTCACAGGAGTCATTGAAGATCACGAGAAATATAAAAATTCTATTAGGAGTGACTTGGCCTGTTTTCTAATAGGGTTTGCTAATTTAATCAGCAGGCCCTTTCCCTCTGTGTGGGCTGCATCTGTAGTCCCAGCAACTGCTGACAGGGAATGCACAACAGAGCTAGATGACAACATGGCCTGCAAGAGCCAGGTGCCACGGCAGATGCCTGGGAAAGCACTTGCAGCCAAAGGCAGATGGGGGCCAGGGCATGCTGTACTGGATGCTCCCGGCTCTGGTGGACAGGGCCACATCTGGAACTGGTTTTATTGTGAGTTGGGCTTTTCCTGTTCCTACTGGCTCCTCTCTGTTCATAGTCCAAAGGTCCCTGCCACGATACTTTCTAAAGCTCTGAGGTGACCACACTTGAGCAGCCGTGGCTAGTCACCATTTTAGTGGTTTGAACAGCTAGGTGGCAGCTGCTCTTCCCTCTGTCTTGGGATATTCAGTGGCACCAATGAAAGTCTTTATTTCCACCTCCCATGGTCAGTGGCCCTTTCAACAGGCTCCATTTCTGTCTCCCTCTTTATCTCTCCCCAATCCCGCTTCCTTCTGTTAATACATTATTCCACTGTACACCCAGTTTCTACTGCTACAGTCTGCACCCAGTCCTGGCCTCATTTCCCATCTTTCCACAGAGATGCTCAGAAATTCAGCTACCCAAAAGCAAAATGGACTTTGCAAATGTTAAAGGGACAGCAAGGCAAGTACGTTACTATCAATCATCGCTACTTGTGAAATTTTAGCATTTTATTCCCCCCCACTAGTGCCCCCCATGACCCTGGCCCCACATTTAAGAGATGAAGAAACTGGAATATAAAGGGTTTATCCTGGCCAAAGCCACACAGGAATGCCCCAGGGTCCAAGTCCTAAGTCAAAGTGGCTTTCACCAGCCTCTGGATGGCAGAACTGGAAGCTTCCCCACCCTTCAAGCATTGATAAATGTCTATGTTGTTGGTGAGCATACCACCACTATATGTCCACGAATATGAGTAAGATGCACAGTGCTGGAGGCGAGAGGGGTCAAGTGCCTGTCTTTCAGAGAAGAATATTGCTGGTGGGTGGGTGGCAAGCAGTTCTCAGAGCAGCTTAATCTACTCTTTCACCCTTGGGAGCTGGTCTAGCCAGACTCCACCCTGGGAGAGCAGGTCTAAGGCAAGAGCAAGGAGTTCTTTCCACAGCATCATGGTTATTAATCATCTATATTCTTCCTGCTGGGCAGAATTCTTCAAGGTCAACCACGTGTCTTAGGCTTCTCTGATTCACTCTACAGAGCACAGAGGTTTGAATCTAGTAGGTGCTCAGAAAATACTCGAGGCAGGGAAGACGTCACTCCACTCCAGGCTTCAAGTAGAGCCTGAAAAGTCTCAATGTCACCACCTAGGCAGAGGAATCAAGTTTCAGGACCCCATGTTGGGTGAAGTGGGAAGTTGGTTCCATTTCTTGTACCTGAGCTTCGGTTCCCATGATTTTTCCTGTGACTTCCTCAGACGTCTAGGGAGAGATGATTCTGGCTCAGAGGATGATGGTTCATTTAGAATTGGCTTTGAAACAGATAGGTATCTTGCTTCTACAAATTCTACTGCTTGTGCCTAGGCAAAAGCACACTGCTTGACAGGAAGAGATTCACAGACAACACCATGTCCTGTGTGGCCCACTGGTCTGAGGTAGCTGGTCAGTGAAGGAACTGACAGAGTCAGTTCAAGACCAGTCAGCCCCTTTAGACATGTTCACACTGTTGAGATGACATGACTTCAGTCACATACCCTAAACCTTCCATTCCCTTCCCCTGATCCAGATCCTAGCAAATGTCCAAAGTTATCCATCAGACTAGGTGGGGCTGTGTTCCTGAGGGCAAGGCTGTAAGGTACAGCTAAAGAGGAGATGAGCTTTTCATCTAGTTGTAGCCCTGGCTCTACACAGTACAGCTTTTGCCTTGGCAACTTTCCATTGGGGGCAGCTCTTCTTGTGGGATGGAAACACTGAAACCTGACAGAATATTCTTTTGATTGCAATTGGGCTGGGAACCTAACCAGTGGATGAGTAAATGCTGGATAAAGTGTGTAGGGAAAGAGTGGTTGCTGCTACGATAGTCAGATGAAATGACAATTGGCTGGAGGGTCTCTGTGGGGCTCCTACACACCACATGAGTCCTCTGTGCACTGTGTTCCAGTGCCCAAGAGGGCAAATGTGTGAAGATGAGGACACAATGAATTAAGAGTAGGAAACTGTAGGTAAGTATTAACAGGACACAAGGGAAGTTTATGGGCTGACATTCCTACCAAAGTGTTCAGTGCCTACATGGGCTCTGTGCCATCTCTATAACTGTTTTCCATCAGCTACAGCAGAGGAGTTAGCACTGCCCTGTGTTCTCTAGATGGATCTGTATTTGTTCCATGTAATGGGGTGCAGCACCAGTATTTGATTATTGCTCCAGATCAATATTGCTGGTGTAATTAAAGCCCTACACACACACTCTCTCTCTATTTCTCTGTCTCTTCTCTCTCTCTCCT